TACCTCTATCTCTGTGCATCGCTCTCGGTAACATTAGCCAACCGGTTTACAAGAAGCTTGTACTCGTATTTAAATTAAACAAGATAACATAGCTGAGTTTATGAGTAGTTAGATGTGTTAGGAAGAAAACAGTACAGCTAGTATGTATTTGTTTGTATTGCAGAAGTTTGATAACAATATAAAAGCATAATAATTTATTGATTTTATGGAAAACTTGCCTTGTTGATATACTATAATCTTATGTTACTCTTGTCTGTGTAGTAGATTATTAGATACCTATGTTATGGTAGAAAATTTATATTTATTGTATTTGTTATGTATATATGAAGTGATGTATTAGTGTTTGAATATCCATTTCAACCTCCAGGATGCAGGAAATTTAAAGTCATAGCAATGAGAAATGTATAGATATGTAAGTGTATACATAAATGTTATCCATCTTCTCTAATGATATCCTAATAAGTTTTTAATCGTTACATATATTTGACTTTATAATCTTTGTATATTCTCATTTTCTGTTTTCACTACACAGACCTTGAATCTGTATCTGCTAAAAGTATATCCTGTCTCCTTTGTAAAGAATTGCCTGAGATATCACCTTAATTTTATATTTGCAATTTCAGAAAGTGAATCAGAAGTAATGGAGAAATCACAAGAGGACAGCTCTGAGGAGGGATCCATTGCAGAGAACTTCCTGAAAACGACACATGGCTTGGTAAGAAAGGATATTACTTCTCCATCCTAAAGAAAATAAAAGGAATGTAAGCCAATACTAAAGCAAATTATCATCTTTACAAAGTTCTTAGTCCAGAAAGGAAATTAAAGAAATAATTAGTTTATTCATTTTGTGTTCTCTTCAACAGTGGAAGACTTTAGCAGAAGCACTTCAGGTAACAAATGTTATTTAGAATATTCTGTTATATTTTGTGTGTTTGTGTTTTTTATTTATTTAGTAAACGTCCTACTTTAAGAATTATGCAAACTGAGCTTGATGTTAGCATGTTTAGTGCTTTATTGATAGTTTTTTTTTTTTTTTTTATTATTACAAAGGATAGGTGTTACTTTGTGGGTCAATATTTTTGATAAGACTAGTATTTGAAACATTATTAGATAATACATACTGGTATTGTTTGTCTATATCAAAAGATTTGTGTGTTTTTTTTAGTTATCCCTCCTTTCACACTGAAGTTGTGTGTGTTTTTTTCTTTACTGCACAATACTCCACTGTGGTCACTGTCCGTAACCCATTAGCACTGGCACTGTGTACTGTGGTTTTGTTTTATTAATTTTGTTTACAAATAGATGACTTCACAAGTTCCATATCACCAATAAGTCATTTCCTTGGCCTACGTGATATCATTTGTTTGACGTATTCCTTTAAATTTCAGGAAAGTTTTTAAATTCAGTATTATTATTGTAATTGTTATTATGATATTGGTAGTGATAATAATAGTAACAGAAATTAAAACTTTTATGGACAAAAATTCAAAGAAAAGGGTGAATGAGTTCAGATAGGCCTAGGAATTGATGCCTTGGTGACTAAGTGTTTCTAGAGCCAAAATTAATTAAGAGCCAGTCAGGACGATTTGGACCTTTACACGTACCGGGATGAAAAAGTCATAATCGCTTGTTTCATACATGATATTTATATAATTAAGTATTTATGGTTTTGAATGTTCTGAGCAGGGCAAAAACTATTTTTATATTTCTTGTGTGATTATGACTGCAAAATTTGATGCATTAAGGAAATTTGGAAAAAAAATATAGAAGTGTGTTTAAACATAATGAAACAAACATGTTGGCAAACTTTGTTTACCAATGTTCATGTTTTGGCCAAGTTTGTTTATTTCATAGCTTGTGCACAATATTTTCATTGTGCGTGTGGGTGGACAAAATCATGCGGGGCGATTAATGGGCCAAATGACTGTCTAAGGAAAGTGCTTGTTTGTAGTTGGCACAGATGGATTATTTAGTAATTTCTGTTACACAAGTGGACTATTTGCTCTTACGATTAACTTGTGCAGTGATAGATTTAATTTTGCATTTTCTTTGTGGTTATGAGGTAAATAAAATGAAGTGCTAAATAAATACGAAATGATATAATGAAAATTTGAGAGTTGTTCATAATCGGTAATGCCAAATTGAACAATTTGCTGTTGTAGACTTTTAGCATACACATCGATATTACAGATGGGGGTAATTGGAGCAGTTTTCATGTACTTCATGATGAAACATGTATATGAATGGGTAATTTATTCAAAGAATGTATATATTCTTTGATACTTCTTTAATCACCCCGGTAGGACTGTGATTACCCCAAAGTTAGGACCAAAACTCCCCTTTATTTTTTATTTTTTGCATAATGTGGTGTATTATCCACTTCATGTTACTCGTTAAGTTATCATTATGTCGTTAATTTTCTTTTGTGCTATGTAGGTAATATCCACCAATGTATGTGTAACAGTATTTTTGTTTTTGGTCAGTGAATGTATGAATTGGA